GTTTGAAAAAGAACAATCCTCCCCGCTCTCTCTTTCTCTGTGCCAGAGGGCGCGTGTTCCTCTTCTTCTTCTTCTTCTTCTTCTTCTTCTTCTTCTTCTTCTTCCTCGTGCTCTTCTTCTTCTTCTTCTTTTCTCCCGTTTCCTTCTGTCGACTCTCTCGCAGGCGACAGAGGGGGCATTCATTCATGCACGCATTCTCAGAATGCACTGTGTGTGCCTCGCGTGCATGTGCTTTGGGAGCTCGTGGGGCAAACTTGGGTCTCTTCGACAGGGTGTGTGATGGGTGTAGGTTCGAAAAAACGAACGGAGAAACGACCATCGCGATCCTGGTGGATTATACGTGCATCATTCCTGGAATTATGGAAGCTACGTTAACCAGGAGGCTCGTCTATGAGCTTGATGGGTACAGTGGTACCTCGCTAACGGTCGCTACCGTTTCCCTCGATACTGGTCGCGTAGTCAGCCCCATCAATTCCTGGAACGAGTGTCCATGTTACGCAGTGTAAACGTACGCTGAAGATTCCTCTGTATTTCACTCGCTCTGCGTGTTTTTCACTTTCGTCCGTAATGCGATCGAGCCGATCGGAGATAACTGGAATAGCGTTGCCCTGGATATAATGTTTGCGTCGGGGACCAGGCCTGCGAGTATTGATGCGCTGTGTGGCCGCTGTAATTGAAAATGCAAGTGGTCAAAGGGTTCTTGAAATTATTCCTTGAGAAAAATCGGTTTACAACGAGTAGCTTACATAAATTAACTTACGTTAATTTCGATATGGAAGCCTGAAAGGAAATAACCGATGTCGTACGAAGAACCGTCGTATACGCATATACAGAGGGGCAACACGAAGAGGTGAGAAGTGGACTCGAAAAAGGAAGATAAAACGATCCTGGCACATCCGGTTCGGCATAAATCGGTGATATACGACGGAACTTAAAAATTGATTTACGAGAACAGAAATAATTCGCGATAATCGTTGAGAGAACGGGGAGACAGAAGAATTTTAGCAGCCATGGCGAATTCGAACGAGATCCGGAAACGCGCGTTGCCGGCGCAGGAAATTGCACGTTGCGGCTCGGATTGTCGAACAATTTCCTGGAATCTGCATCGCGTGTGCGACTAGTTGCACAACAAGACGGGCCTAGACGGATTAAATCTGCTTCTCTGTGTTTCTCTTGTGTCCGGCAACACAAACGATCCAGAACGGATGGATCGAGGAGGCGGAGAACTCACGAAGTAGAGAAACTGGCAGGCTTTTCTATTAGAGCTACTTTTATCGTTAGCTGTCTGGCCACTGCTGCACGCTGCGTTTGAACTTCATTGTTCGTTACGACACTTGGCTTCTGGGAAGCTCGGCCAATGTTTTCTTTTTTCCTTGCTTTTTCTCACGTATCCAAGAATACGTCTGCATTGTACCTCTCGCTAGGTGGCGATCGCGTGACTTTAATGGCCACCGATTGCAATTGACCGTGTTGCTTTTCTAGCTCCTCCTTCTTGCTGCTCCTCCATCATCCTCGTTTTTGTCATAACGGTTATTTCGGTTGACAGCGTGACTCATATTTGTTTTGCATTTGTCTTCTGTCGCTGCGAGAGAAGAATATCATTTGTATTACTTGATTAATTTTCGTTGTCAGGATATTGGTAGTTAAGACAGACCATCGTGAATATTGTTAGGTTAGTTTTTGGATAATACGGAATAGGGATTGTTTGATCTGTGTCTTTGTTACCTGCACTATCCTCTGGAGATTTTTCATCTGGCCTCGTAGTTTCATTGTTTAACGAAGGAACGGAAATCGTTGGACGCGATTCGCTCGAATGCGTTCGACGTCTATATCCGTCGTCCTTTTTTCCAGCGTCTCCGTTTCTCGGTAGCATCCCAACAACGGAAGCATTTTCGTGCGACGTACCTACGTATACAACGGTACACGCACACGTTCCCTTAAACGGTGTCGAGTTACTCGTCAGCTTGGAACACAGCTTATGTAAGTACGTCAAGAAGTTTCGATCTTCGTGGTGTGGTGCGCACCTCCTCTCCCCTTGTATGTTGCTCGTGCTAAAGTTTCACCTTGTAAAGATAGAAATATTGCGTTCTTTTCTCTGCGTCGAACGCGAACGCGCAGATCGAGGGAACGGAGAAATAGAATTGTTTTGTAATTGTCATTCCGTATCGCAGTCTGATAATAAACGCAATATATCGGGATTACAAGGGAATTTCCTTGTTTCTTATTGTGCGTATTTTTAAGCACCGTAACACGAGTCACGTCAGCCCGAGGATGATAATAAACGACAGAAAAGTGACTCGTAAATAACAGGGACATCTTGCGATGTCAGAAATTTCATGAAATTTCATGAAATTCCGATATACCATTGCCAATTCGATGCCAACTATTCCTAAATTAAGTCGCAAATCACAAAGGGTTAAGAGCCTATAAAGAACTCTTAACGATGATTCGTTGTGGTATTTCATGTTCTATATTCCCGGCCGAGAAAAATAAAGTCGACGTGCATAGCTCTATATCATCTGCGATGCATATTCCGTGTCTTTCTCGCGATTCGAAACGGAAAAAGCGCCATTTGCAATGCGCCTACTGCGCATGTCCACCGAAACTAATGCGCCGCCATTGCTATTTAAGCGCGTAACTCATCGTTACAGTCCTTGACCACGAATTTTATTGCACGGCATTAACCGGTGCTTTACGAGGCTCGTAAGTTTACGGTAAACGAATAAAAATACAGCCAAACGGAAAGGGATGTATCACGGAGTGCCCGTCGTTTTAATAGATTATAGAAAATACAGTGCAAATAGAGGCGACACGTTGCGCGAATCGCGGCCCGGCCGCGCGATTTATTTTCTTCCAGCTCTATAACTCAACGCAAGGGATATAGTCACTGACCACGTTCGCCTCTCTCGCGTTTCCAATTTATGGTAATATCCTTGTGATCCCTAAATAAGGTTGTCCGATTTTTCCGCGTTTTTACACGAACAAACGGATTCAAAATCGAAGAACCTTTTATGATGTCATTGACGCTGTCGCGTCG